GGCCGGGTCCAAGGGACGTTCTGGCTGCTCCCATTTCCTCTACCGCAAGAAGGTGAGTTGGCTTGGGCAGGACGCATCGTTCGAGGTGACGACGGCCAGTGGTCAAGGATAATGAACGAGTGGCAGCCAAGCGAGAGAAGCGAGCGATGAGATCGGCTCGTGGGCAGCGTCGAGATGGCTCACAGCATCGCAAGAGCGTGTGGACAGGCCTTGATCCAGCGGTGAATTGGTCACGGCGTGTTACAAGCACATTGGGCACGGTGATGAAATGTATTACTCAATTAGATGTGCCGCATTAGCCTGCTGTGTAGGAGCATGCAGAAACGATGGAATTCAAATGACGCTCATGTGAGTTACGTTTTGTTGAGTCCAGTTTACCGGCGACTGTGAAGCGTCTATAAATGCGATGCATCTCAAGATTATGTCAGTATTCGCTGTGCTGTAATCCGTACATATTACATACACAAATACCAATTGTTAGTAACGCCGAGACAGAGAGACAACGAGAGACAGACGTACAGAAATGCATATAGGCACGGAGAAAGACATCGAGAGAGACACAGCATAACAAGGAAAGACACAAAGACGTGGATTAACAGACACAAAGACAGGCAGAGAGACTGAAACACACACACACACGGACAACATTCACGTAAACACTTGCACCGTCCCCACCATGACCACCACCACCACTCTCCCCTCAATCTCTCACCTCCCACAGCCGCATTCGCACACCCCCCCCCCCAACCCCCCACGTGTTACCCCCCGCGGAGCTCGTTAGCGGGAGACAATTCCGCTCGGTGTTAATTACTGGCGAGTAGCAGAGGGGGGTGGGTGTGACGTCCCCCCCCCAACCCCCACCCCCCCCAGTGTTCCCAATTAGCGGCGTCTCCCCCACGCCGCTGATGCACGCGCGCGCGCGCGGCTGCTCGGTCACGCGCACAGGCGCGGTTCATCCCCAGCTGTGCAGCAAGCGAGCCGGCGAGACCCCGTGCACTAAGGGAGCCTGCCTCCGTTCTGGTCGGTGGTGCCTTGAAGTGTACAAACACACGAAGTATTCGTTGATAGGCCTCCATGCACAAATAACAAAAAAAACACAAACTCGGCAGAAAACGCTGGCTTAAAAAGGACAAATGTATGACCGGCGACGTTTCGGTCAATGGCCCTTCGTCATATCAAATATATAGAGAGGTCAGATAGTGTATGTATGATCGTTGGAGACCGCAGTATACACCATGGGGTCTGATACGAAGGGCAGAGGGCTACCATTGCCGAGACATCTGGGTTCGAATCCAGCCCTGTTCATTTAAACCTGATTCTCAAGCGTAACGAGTTGATGATCTCTGTGCCCGGTCACCAATGACTGCACAATAAAACGTTGCATTAAATTTGTCTCTGCAGTTAATTTGGCAAACAAAACTTTTTTACAGCTCTTGAGAATTAAATTACGGTTTTGACAGGCATGCAACGAAAAATTAACCCGTAAAAACAAAGTTTTTCACTATAAATCCTTTATATGCGTGGCGGCTAGAGTCCTCTCGTCCTCTAGATTGTGATGGCTGCCACCTATGGGTCAGATGATTGTCTGGCAGCATTAATCAATTGGTAATTAAATATTTTAAAAAAATTCCCTAAACAGTGTAAAATTTTGGAGAAAAAAAATTCACCAAAATTAATTGTCACGCACAACGAGTCTGTGTGCAAAATGTCAGCTCGATTGGATAACGAGAAGTGGGTTAAAAAACGACCGAAAGATTTGCACGGTCGTAAGCAAGCAAGCACGCAAGCACGCAAGCAAGCAAGCGAATTTAATATAAAGGATTTAAAAATGCTCTCATATGGCAGAGCGGGTTGGAAAACTGCTGCTCCCTATTTGAAGGCATATCAGCGATAGCTCTGTGACATCCACTTCTGCGAGCCATGCCTTGACACAATAGGATGCACTGTGTTGAGGGAGATCCCAATGGGTTATTCATCTCATAATGTAGAACTTGGAAGGTGCACAGTGTTCTTTCACGCTTAGAGAAATATAGAGAATGATTTGGAGGCATGGAACACCACAGACAACGCGGGCAGGCAGCCAAGAGCTGGCGCCAACGATTGCCCAAGCTCTGTGGCCCTACATGTGGACGTTTGCCCATCTCCAAACTCACGACGTGACGACGACAATGGCACAATCGGGATACAATTGGTTCAAGATGAAACAGAAAACAGAGAAAGCGCTGTCAAACGTACCGCTGTGGTTTTGTCTGAATTTATTATACATACTCTAAGCAATGAAACGCGCCTACAATAGTGCATTTCGATTGTCCGTCACGTCATCAGTGTACACTTGAATGGCCTGCTATCGGTCCGTGCATACTCTATTGTATAGTTCACGCACGCAGCCCATTCATCATGCATTACACAGACAGATCAACAGTGGCAATTTTACAATAATTATATTAAATTAATAATAATTGACTGTTCCTTTGTCTATCCACTGCCGGATGAAGGCATCCCTCTGCTGCATTGTTCATCAGGGGGGGGGGGGAGTATTTGACCATACTTCACCACCCTCGTCAAGTGGAGGGTGAGTAAGGTGGTGGGGAGGTCGGGTGGGACAGAACAGGGTAAGGTTCCTATATCATTGGCCACTGATGTTATCCATTGCCGGGAATTAAACTCAGGTAGATGGGGTCATGGCGCAGTCTTCTAACCACTGCACCGCTGCTTCATCCACGTTCAGACTGAGTCTCAGAATGTGTAAAATTTCGATTTAAAGCTTTTCGTGACTGCAGGGATTCATCTTCTTGGTTCTTTCGGTAAAGTCACGTAGAAGGGAAATAATAAAATAATAAAAATTAAACATAATAAAATAATTCTCACGACGTTTCGGCCACAACGCAAGCAGCCGTCCTCAGGTGAAGACCAGGTCTGTCGGGGAGACAGCGTCTGAAGACCTGGTCTTCACCTGAGGACGGCTGCTTGCGTTGTGGCCGAAACGTCGTGAGAATTATTTTATTATGTTTTATTTTTATTATTTTATTACTTCCCTTCGACGTGACTTTACCGAAAGAACCAAGAAGATCTCAGAATGTGTTGCAACTGGTGAGGCCCGCTGAGTGCAGCTCTGTTGCAAGGACGACCACAGCCCAAGGCCATCGCCAGTGGCGGCAGGTAGAGGACATTGCGGGGTGGAGATGTGCATACTGACAAGAGCAAAAACAACTTATTCACACATTGTTCTTAAGTCCGTGCAATGCATCAAGTCGGAGTGTAACTGCTCTAGTCCGAATGGCAGCCAGAGGAGTGCAGAACGCGCCGGAGAGTACAACCCGTGTAGAGAGATGGAGCTACGGAATCGCTTCATGCGCAGGAGTGAAGTGTACCGTGCCCCTTGCAGTACCGTGAGCGACTCCGAGGGGGGATGCCCTTCACCCAGCAGCGGATAGACCACGGCTGAGACCGATGACGGACTGGATGAGGATTACGGCGTTCCTCTGAGGGTAAATGAATCAGCCTCGCCCCCTTCCACTGCACTCGTGGCTCTCAAACAATTAACAGAACAACGATGGGCGGTGAATTCCTACAGACTGTGTACAGAATAAGGTATATTGGTGCGATGTCGAATTGAACATCTCTGAATATGGATTCAATTATCGCCGGTTCCAACGTGCAAGCCGAATCTCCCCTCTTCCACCAGGCGCCGCCTTCATGCGCTCTGCGCTGCAGCAGCCGAAGCTTTCTGATGGAACCAGTGAGTTGACCTTCTTCTTATGTAGAGGTCAACCCTCGATTCGTCAATTGCTTCGCCTTCTCCTCCTTGCTGCCTCCAAGATCTGGAGCTTACTTCCCTCAACCATCTGTCCACGTCCAAGCTAAATACATGTCCTCCTCTTCTCTGCCTATGACCGTCTCTCTCTTAAAATATAGGACATATAACAACACGCCTCATTGGTACCGGTGAGGTGCATGCGTCTGGTTTGGTACAGCGTCGTGAAATTCGGTTGCATGTAGATGCTGTCTAAATTCAAAATCGTGTTAACTTACTCTGTACAAGCTACACCATTGCGGTCGTGTATAATCACCACACACACACACCACTCGCGCTATTCGCCACCGCAGAGGTAATTGTGTAGGCAATGTCACAAGTCACAACAGTTGCACACCTACCTAGCTACTCGCCTGCAAAGAGTGCAATATAGCTAGAGCTGATATGATTAGTCGATTATGTGAATTGACTAAACTTATAACTTTTGTGTGCATGTATGTTGTTGAACTTCTTTCACACTGTACGTAGTCAACCGTGCTAATCATAAATGTGGGGGAAGGACAACAAACTAAACACAAAAATAAGTTCTAAAGAAATTAGTTTTAAATCTAGATATTAAAGTGCATAGCTCCAGTGGCTTCCTAATATCGGATGAAAGAGTATTCCAGGCGGCTGCAGAAACACATCTGAAAGCGCGCGATGCAGTGGCCGTCTTTGTTCGATGGCTAGCCAAAAGCCACTGCGAGGATGACCGCAGTTTGCGTGAAGGTTTGTGTTCCTTGACCAGAGGAACATGTGGTCAATTAAAAAAACAGCGACCATTTCAGCATCACGCTTCCCGAAGGCAGGAAACCCCCTACAAGCCACGCCCATCATAATACAACTGATGATGCCACGCCCATAACCTCCCATCCAGTGGCACATATGCGGACAAATGTCCGAGTTTAAAAAATAAATGAATTGTTATCCAATTAGTCGAGTAATGAAACGATATATTTGTCTTCTTGGTTCTTTCGGTAAAGTCACGTAGAAGGGAAATAATATAATAATAAAATAAAACATAATAAAATACTAATTTTCACGACGTTTTGGCCACAACACAAGCAGCCGTCCTCAGGTGAAGAAACGGAGCTATTGGGACGCGACATTGGGATGCTATCTTTCCGACAGCTCTGTTTCTTCACCTGAAGACGGCTGCTTGTGTTGTGGCCGCAACGTCGTGATAATTTATATTTTATTATGTTTTACTTTTATTATATTATTATTTCCCTTCTACGTGACTTTACCGAAAGAACCAAGAAGATGAATCCCTGCAGTCACGAAAGCTTAAAATCGATATATTTGGTTGAGTGATCGACGACTTTAGAAATAGGATATCCCAGCTCTAATTATAACTGAGGTTATTTAAGAGATGGTCAAAGCAAAATTCATCACCCTAATTAATGACACAAATTTATAAATTCTGATATGTATAAAATATTTTATATAATTAAAACCATGCAATATTATTTATTTCGTTATTGAGCTGCGTGAATTGTAAAACATGCACTCCATTGAATTTAAAATATCCGTTTAAAAATGGTATCCTTTTAGCAACTCGATCAAAACCTATTTACGATTTAGCATCTTCATGAGATCAAAGATCAATCGGCCCACTCTGAAACACAAGCGAAATGAATATCTGAATATGAATGGCATGACCAAATAAAACATATATCCTGGATCGTTTTGGTTAACGCTACAACAACAATGCTCATTTCTATACAAGGTCTGGCTCGCGTGGTTACTCAGCGTGGTTCATACGGTGGGGCATGTACTGCTTTGATGATGGAAATTCAACCCCCGACCCACCACCCTCCCCCGACAACTCGCTCTAACCATTCTGCCGTCATGATCTGGGACTGTGATTCCATTTACAAGTAAACTCACATTTCGTCTTTCTTTTAAACGTAGGAACCAATGGGGGTTGAAAGCATTAAGCATTAGATCTGTCTGCATGTCTGCCCTGTTGTACATATGATCCAATATGAACATAATTGTAGTACAACAATGATGTTGTTTTCAACAATGTTGAAAACTGGCCAAAATTGATTAAACGGTTGCACAAAACTTGTCATGAGATCAAAGATCAATCGGCCCACTCATGGTCCAGAGCAGAACTCGGTACCACCTAAAGTAGCAAAACTTTAGTCGTACCCATTTATTTGATGGAAAATGAAAGTAAATTACTTGATAGTCTCACTCATTCCAAGTATTTATCACTGGCCACGTAGAGAAATTGAAACTGCTAAAGTTAGGCTACCTCACGCGGTATCGACAAAGGAGACATCTCATGGACTATGAAGAAATAAGAATAGGTTGTATCCTTTCTGGCAATAAAACAGGTCTTAAGATTCATTGACAAAGGTTTCTGTTTGGTGTTTGAACATCTTAACACCCGTTTTATTGCCAAAAAAGGGAAAATCTATTCTTATTTTTTCATACTTTGATAACGGCAAAACGGTCTCATTTTGAAGCATCTCATGGACTATTGGATGGGGAAAAAACCAGCGCTAAAAGGCTGTGCCGACCTCTCCTGTCCTGCCCAGTGACGTCATCACAGGCGACGTTCGCCTCGCGAAGTCAAAACGCCGCCTCGTGAGCGCCGCTTGAAACGCAAAAAATCGTTGCTCAGTGAACATTTCCGAGGACAAACAAACGCATGCCGGGAACCGTGTGAGTTTGCATGGCGTGTGTTTCTTGTTTCCTCTGCGCAATGTGGGGGAGCACTTCATCCAGCAGTGGATTGACAAAAGCGCTGTATGCGTACTGCACAGGCTACGCTAACGTCACATTTAGGCCCATGGATCGAACAAAACTGTACGAACGGGACGGAAAACGATCGCGGAACAATACAAACGAGACGGTAAAAAATGAATCAAGGGAATCGATACTTGATTCAAATCGCGGCCCTGAATCTCAATAATTCAGCTGATCACCCAGTTTGGGAGGTGGCCACAGATGCATCGTGTAGTCACGTGTGCATTCCCTCCTCCGGTGAAGAATCTTATCGCAGACTGTTCCATTATTGGTCCCCATAAATCACCCCCAACTGGACCCCACACTTTTTCCTTTGCTCAGGCTGGCAGCAAGAGAGGCATTCACCATCGCATTTCCTTAGCCTTCTTATCCTCCTAACCTCCGCAAACTCACCACTACTACTACTCTTATACTCCTCCTCATCTCATCTTTACTCTTTCCTCCTCTTATTTCCCTCGTCATCTTCTCACTTCCACTCCTTTTCTCCACTGATCTCCTCCGCCCAACTCCTCCCTCCCATCTTCATCTCCTCACCTCCACTCCTCTTCCTCTCCTCGCCTCCTGTCCCTCTCCCCTCCCTGCCCCTCGTCCTCCTCCTCACGTCCCCCGGGGGTGGCTACAGGATGGTACACTTGCTCCTCTCCACCCAGGGGTTGTTCTTGGTGAGCTCGGGGTTGAGGAAGGGGTCCGTGCGCCGCCCGTCTTCGATCCACTTGACAAGCCTGCGGACAGGGCCCACGCGTCGCCGCTGTTATTTCATCGGCGTAAAAAAAGCAGTCTTTGCTGGCCTGATTTGCAAACCCAGTAATAATATCAGCCCTTTTCCACTGCCACATCTGAGCTGAACCAGCGTCAGTGCCTCACGGTATGCATGCTTTCTTTCCCCGCCGGTTATTTGCCATGCCGAGGCAAAACCGAACAGTGATACACTGCTCTCATAAGACATCTGAATCTGGCTTGAGGCCAAGCAGAGCCGGGGGTTGGTATAAATGCATTGCGTTCCTTGCTTGTGACATCAGTCACCTATTGCACGCCACGTTTCTACTCGTTTCTTGCACGTGACGGCAACGGCACGGCTCGGCTTCTGCAGTGGAAAAACAACCTGGCGCCTCCTGAACCATGCCGGGCTGGTTTGGCCACGGCTCTCAGTGGAACTGTGGAAGAGAGGTATAAGTGGGCCTGTCTCCAAGCCGTCTTTAGTTTGGTGTCCTTCCCGCACACCTCCGATTAGCACATTTGACTACGTACGTTGCGAAAGAAGTTCATCGTACATGCGTACAGTTTTATTTGGCCCAAGCCAGCATCATCTGAGCTGTGGAGCTTTCTTTGCAAAAGGAGGGTCCTGCATTGGGATCCCTTGGCCAATTACATTCACGAGGTCTTTTTGCCCCCAAGTATTGTGCATAATTTTTTATTGTGCTCACTCACTCGGGGATCGTCTGGGAGGACAACTCGCGCTTGACGGCCAGCTGGTACTTGAGGCTGTCCACCTCGCGCCGGAACTGCTCCTCGTCCCACTCATCCATTGCGAACTGAAAGACAAAGAACACCCATGGAGCCTCTTACAGACTGCTGGGGCAAGCGCTGTTAGCGATCACCTATGAAGGAAGGCCAACACGGCACGGAGAGGGAGTGGGTGACCAGCAACCACGCCCAGCCACCTTTGTTGCGAACAAAAGACACGAACACAGACAAAGATCCCCCGTGTAGCCTTAACAGACTGCTGGGGCAAGTGCTGTTCGCGAACGCCTATTTAGGCCTGCACAGTGTGGAAAGGTGAACACGAGGGGGTGGAGTAGGCGCGCACCACGCGCGACCGCCTTTGTCTCCCCAGAGCTGATGTTTACACACCGCCACTAGGTTTCTAGATGAAATAGAATTGCCCAAAACAAAGCTCTCATACTACTGGTCGCTGACGATAGCCATGGCTGGGAACAAAAGTGAGATGGCTAAGAGCAGAGCCCCATGCGCTAGCCCCTGTATCACTACATACACACACATAATACAAAGAGGCAAATATCCCCCGTGTTGCCCTTAACAGATTGGGGCAAGTGTTGTTAGCAAGCATCTATGAAGGTTATCACAGCACGCCGAGATGGGTGGTGTAGAGAGCACCATGCCCAACAGCTTTTGTTTCCCCAGTGCTATTAATGTTTACACGCTTAAATAGGTTACTCATTTAAGGCCGAGTCGACCTAGAAGACGTGCTTGGCCGGGTCAGATAATCACGATAAGCCATGGCCAGGAATCAAACTCGCGTGGTCCGGGTTCGTAGCGCAGTACAATAACCATCGTAACAACATCAAGCGCCATTTACCATAACGTGGCGGTGACATCACCACAGCCTTTGTGCCAGGCTAGGTACACCATCGCATATACATATATACACACACACATGCTGAGAAATCCCCCCATGTTGTCATCACTGTCACTGCAGTCCTGTAGGCTCGCCTGCCAGTTGATGTGATGGGCATCCTAGAAAAACTCGACCATCCACAAAGCTCATTTGCCAACCAAACAGAGTTTGGCAAATGTTCTGAATTTCCTTTACTTGGATTCCACTCCATCGTAAATCCCGACCCCCCCAGCCATCAGCAATGCTTCCTGCTGAACCCCTTTGACGTGTGTTGACAGCCAAGGTGGACAACACCGCATTGCAGAAGCAAGTTATATACGATAGGTACAATATTTTAGGGAAGCGGCTGGCATGTTTGGAAACAGTTGAAATGCATTTCGCATTTCAAAAACGCATTATAAAGCATGACGTAGAACATTGCACGGCATTGCGCATTGCATTTCCAATAGGTTGCATCATAAATTGCATGTAACATTAGAAGGACATTACATGACATGACACAAGAGATTGCAAATACAATGTTCAAGTTGATTTCGTTGGACCAGGTGAGTGTCATTTGAAAGAGTGACCCACGTCACCAACAATGACAGAAGCAAAACCGTGTCAAATAAAGCACCGCAAATGAAGCAGACAGAAACCCACATTAAACATTACATCACCATTGACATTACAAATACGATTACACATTACATGACACGTTTACAGGGCTTCACCGGGACCACATGGCACAAACAACTGAAACTACGCGGCGAAACGATTGCGTTGAATGTAAAAGTAATTTGCGCGCAGTCACCACCGATGTTTCAAACATTCATCGGCAGCCATGGATCTCAATCCGCCAGCGTCTCTCAAAGTCCTGCGATGTAGCGATCCGAACAGCTCCTGTGCAGGAGGCAATTTCATCGCTCCATCTCCACAGTCAGTTGAATTTCCACTCCATCTCCATCGTGAATATGAATTTAACCATCGGGTTATTTGTAATTAACGAATCATTGTATCCGCTTTCTATTGAAATTGGAGTCACACTTTACCCAAAAAGTAAACTTAAAAATAGAGTTATCAAAAATGTCATAGTTGGATTCGGAATCCTTCAAAACCTGCAGATGCTCGCTCTTGCGTGCCCGAGTTTAAAAAAGAGAACATTTATATTTTCGCCTCCCGACTTTTTCAGCAGCGTTATGAAACTCGCGATACAAAATTTCAGAGGACCTAAAAAAGTAAAACCCGCACACCCCCAATTGGGAGACTCAAACAAAAACATGGGTGCTTTGGCCAAATTTAAACTTTCTATTTATTTAAACTTTAATCAGTCACTGATGGCCGACAACATGATAGACATCTCTTGCAGAAGATTGAGACTGAGTGACAGCATTTCTAGTGAATGGCGAGAAATTTGAGTTTCTTTTTTAGCAAACGTAGCTGAGTATATAACTAAAAATATGTGAGAGAGAGAGAAACAAGACATTTTCTATTTTGGGGGCCCAAATATGACAGCCTGGAGGTTGACTGGTTTCACTCAGAGAGCCGAGCCAACATAAACTGGCACGTTAAGTCTCTTAAACGTACGATCCGCACCATCACTAACCCTAGTCATTCATCCCCCCGTGGTGGTCGACGTGAGTTCAGCTACCTTTAACCCAGTCGAGTATTTAACATAGATTATAAATCATGTGTTGTGTAAGCAAAGCTGTCTTGCTTTTTGCTATGAAGTAGTGCATTTCACAATACACGCATTCAAATTTGTGATAACAAAGACGGTTACTGCATTGGACGTTTTCAGATGCGCTTGTGCGGCCGTCTGGAACGCTCTTCGTGCCAATATGAGGAAGCCACTGGAGCTATGCACTTTGAATCTAGATAGAAAACTAATTCATTTAGAACTGTTGTTTGTGTTGTGTGTGTTGTCCTTCCTCCGCACATCCGATGAGCACGGTTGGCTACGTACGGTGCGAAAGAAGCTCAACATTCATCCATGCTGGATGAATGCCTCCCCACACCGTGCGGTCCGCGGGGGTTATTTGACCATACTTCACCATGCTGCTCAGCGCGGATTGGTGAATGTGTTGTCCACAACCTGTTTCAGATGTCGCCGCTCGCCGCTGACATTATCCTGGTCAGCAATCGAATTTAAATCGTCGTGTTCATCACGAACAGTGTGAACGCGGCGTAGAAGCAGAGTGCAACAATGTAAATTCCTGCACGGCTGCCCCACCACGTAGCCCAACAGCCGATAGCACCAGCTTCACGCACGATTCGTCGCCCGTCGAAGCACGAACCGGGCTCACACCAGCTTAGCTTCCACGATCAGACCAGATAGGGGCGCGTTTCGGGTGATTTGGTCACGCGAACCTAATAACGGTCCCCTTAAACATGGGCCTCACCAAAAAAACACATTTACTGTGAGTTTGACTCTTGGGAGGAAAGCGAGAATATACGGAGAACAACAACAGCGGCAGCAGCAATATTTAGAGGGGTCAACATTTAAAGCTATAGAAGGTCAGAGTGAACAACAGTCAGAGTTGACACTTACGCACGATAGAGAGGGAGTCAGCGATCGTGCCGAGACGTGAACGCAAAACACCAGAGGTGGGACAAAGTCATTGTTATGCAAGTCCAAGTCGAGTCTGAAGTCATCAAATTCATGACTCGAGTCTGACTCGAGTCCAAGTCACATGACTCGAGTCCACACCTCAGAGGTGGGACAAAGTCATTGTTATGCAAGTCCAAGTCGAGTCTGAAGTCATCAAATTCATGACTCGAGTCTGACTCGAGTCCAAGTCACATGACTCGAGTCCACACCTCTGCAAAACACGATGGTTTCGTAAGACTACGAGTTATCGACAATACACACCGTGTAGTTCACAGGTGGATGTTAAAGATGCCGTGATGATATTCTAAACACAGAAGTTAAGGGCCATGTGTTGCAGGCGTCACAATTCAAATTTGCTACTTTCGGGAAAATTACTCGCAAATTCACCTTCCCAACCCCCTTCTGAAAAAAAAAACTTAGCAGGATGTTCCTGAACGTGTCTTGAGACTCGCGAGAAAAGGAGGAGCCCAGTGAACTCACCCGACGGTCGATCGCAGCTGCCTCTCGTCCGCTCGCCCCCCACTCGACTGTGCTGAAGCCGCAAAATAAACCTGTGCGACGGACAGACGCTTCCTCTCCTAATCTTCGGGTCGCCCCCTGCCCCCTGCTTCACCCCACTGCACGCCGACTGCAGCCTGTTTCACCCTGCTGCACCCCACCGCACCCAGCTGAACTCCAATGCACACTTCAGCACCCCACTGCGCTCAATTGAGCTTGCTGCACGCTGCTTCACGCAAACTGCACACAGCTGCAACCTGCTGCACTCAGCTCCACCCTGCTGCACGCTGCTGCAACCTGCTGCACTCAGCTCCACCCTGCTGCACTCAGCTCCACCCTGCTGCACGCTGCTGCAACCTGCTGCACACAGCTGCACCCCGCTGCACGTGCGGTAGCGTCACCGGCCGGATGATATTATGAGTGCTCGGATCGTCCAGTTCTCGGCCCCTATTTGTAGAATCGCCTTCGACTCTTCTGATTGGTGGACAGAGCGAGGTGGATGGGTGGTGGGCGGGTGGGTGGATGCTGGGTTGGTGGGCTCAGCTCATGTGCAAAGCAAACTCACACCAGAACGCACGCGTCTGCCAATACACACGCACACGTTCACAAAGGCGCACGCACGCAACTCACGCATACGCAAAGACAAAGATTCCCCGTGTAGCTCTACGAAAGATCTTGGGGCAAGTGCACCTATGAAAGCCGGCGCGGCACACGAGGGGGCGGGTGGCCAGCACCACGCCCGACAGGTTTGTCGAATTCGTAGCGCAGTGTGCTAACCACTGCGCCACCAATCCCCACACTCAAAGGTCGCCCGTTAAACCTCAACAGACTGTGGGTCAGCACCACGCCCGGCCGCCTTTGTTTCCCTTCGTTTCCCGACTGTCGTTTACGCGTTGCACCAGGTACTCATGTGAGGCCGAGTGGACCTAGGGGAGAGGCCCAGGACTGGTGTCCGTGAGCCGGAATCGAACTGGGGGTCACATGTACAAAGATCCCCCGTGTAGCCTTAACAGACTATAGGGGCAAGTCCTGTTAGCGAGCACCTATAAAGGCCGGCACGGCACACGAGGGGGTGGGTGGCCAACACCACGCGCGGCCGCCTTTGTCTCCCCAGTCGCGATGTTTGCACATCGCACCGGGTACTCATTTGAGGCTGAGTCGACCTAGGGGAGGCCCGGGACCGGTTCAGATAATCGTCCCTAGATCGCCAGGTTCGTAGCGCAGCGCGCTAACCGCTGCACTACCGCTCCCCACATGTACACACACACAGACACACGTGTGCATAGCCGCATTCAATCATCAAGCGGCGACCGGGGTCTGTAGGGGGATTTGAGTGCCGCAGGGATGAGGTGAATGACGTCACCGAGGCGAGGGCAGATCAAACAGGAGGCTGAGTGTCTCTTGGGCGAGAAGCCGCCTCTTCATGTTCACACGACACCAAAGACAAAGACCACCCGTATAGACCAAAAACAGACTGTCGGGGCAAGTGCTGTTATGCGAGCACCTGTGAAGGCCGGCACGGCACACGAGGGGGTGGGTGGCCAGCAACACGCCACCACATCACGACATCACGACCCGCGCACGCACACGCCACTATATTTGAGGTTGAGTCGACGTAGGGTTACTGGGTTCGTGGGGCAGCGCGCTCACAGCTACACCACTGCTCCTCTAAAAGCACACTCACCACGACCCGCACTCACCAACACACCACAACCGCACGCACACACACACACACAAAAACAAACACCCCCCATATAGCCTTAACAGACTGTTGGGGCAAGTGCTGTTAGCAAGTTTCTACGAAGGCTGACACGACACACGAGGGGGTGGCGATGTTTACACATGGCACCAGATACTCATTTGAGGTTGAGTCGACCTAGGGGAGGCCCAGAACCGGTTAATATAATTGTCACTGGTGTTGGCCGTGAGCGGGAATCAAACCCTGGTCGCGAAGGTTCGGAGCGCAGCGCGCTAACCACTACACTACCGCTCCCCAAAGAGAATGACCCGCACTCACACGTAAACACAGCACACGACACAACAACACAACAACACACACCCCACGACAGATACACGCACACCACACATTCAAACACAATGACCCGCGCACAAACACACCACCGAGACACGCTCGCACACACTGTGACAAGACACGAACACGCGTTTCGCCTGGACACGTGCAGACACACAGTCCCAAGTTCACTGTGTGCATCAAAGGACGATGTTTGATTGAGAGTGCCGAGTGACGTGTTGGAGCACATCTAACGCGTTGAGTGGAGTGTCGAAACAAAGCAGATGGCTCCACGTGGTCAGAATCCTCCCGAGAAGGAGTCTTGAGACTCAATACACCCATCGTTTAAGCCCTCCAAGCCACGACATGTGCCGTCATGGGGATTTTAAACTAAAACTATTTTTTTTTTATTTTACCAGGTAAAGCCCGCAAATAAGAGCTCAGCGAAGTGGCTCGTCACGTGGAAATCTGTCAGCCAAATACTCTAAATTAATGTTTCTAAATCTGGAGGGTAAAACCGGAGAAAATTTCACGCGACCACGGAGAGAACACGGAGAGAACATGAAGAGAACATTAAAACTCCAAATATGCAGGCGTCAGGGTCGGGATCGAACTCACGGCCTCGTGTTTACCAGGCGAGGAAGTTCACATCTCGCCACCGTGGCGCCCATACTTCGTTCACCACGTCGGTCAGTGCGGGTTGGCGAAGTCGGTGCGCGTAGATGCGAGGGCATCGAGGTACACACCAATTGATGTTTCTGCACTGCCCTCTGCTGCCCACCACGTCCCCCCCCCCCCCATGGTAACATGTTCGTGCGTGGTGGTCACCTATCCAGCCTCAATCCTGCCAAGGCAGAGCCGTCCCTAGGGTACGGCTAATCGGGGCGATCGCCCTGGGCCCCGCACTTTGGGAGGCCACGCGCAGCGACGTCACAGTGTCTGATGTAATACTTCCGGTTTAGTTTGAAGGCGGGGGTGGGGGCCTCCCCCCCCCCCCCCCCGTCCGGCCAATTCCAGTTCCCTTGCACCTGTTCGCCCATCCTGTCACGTGCTTAAGGGGCCGTCCATAAATGACGTCACGCACCTGGGGGGGGGGGGTCAGACATTTGTGACGATGGGTGACGAGGGGGGGGGGGGGAGTTGAGAAATGTGACGTCACATCAAAATGCGCAACTTTAAATAAATATAGACAACACGTTCTACTTAATTAAATAGACTTTTTAATAAATGTTTTCTCCTACAACATCAGAGTGCAGCGCCACATTAAATACGCACTACAATGACAATAGTTTAAAGCGATTTAAAGCATGTTTTATTTGGGGGGGGGCAGAGCTTTGTGACGTCATATTTGACGGGGGTCTGACTTTTTGTGACGTCGTGTGACGAAAGGGGGGGGGGGGTTCAAAAATCGTCTAAAATAGCGTGACGTCATTTATGGACGGCCCGTATGTGGAAGCAATGGTCTTATCAGATTCGTGTACCTTTATTGACACGGGAGACACGTGCTGAGGCACGTCTTGTTTTCCAGAGCGTCTTCTAATCCGGAGAATACGGTAAGTGCAATCATTGCACATTTTAGGCAACGTTCCTTATTTTAGCAAAGTCTTCTTTAAGGACATGCATCTTCCGACTTTACATAACATTTGAATGTCGGCCTATTTTGCATTTTGGCAAATATAAAAACCGGTCTATGTGTGTTATAAACATTCACACGAGGTAACTGCACGTCCGATAAGCACGGTTGGCTATGTGTACGGTGCAAAGAAAGTTCAACATACGTAGGAGATATAATTTGCATACATAAAAACAAAACAAGGTCCTCACGTCCGTGGGAGTTCATCCAGACAACCGCATCATATTTTGCAGACACACGAATCAGACAGTTTCACGCACGAAAGCACCGATCCTGTGGCATTGGCTTACCCATGCATATTATATCATTCATGTGCAATTCAAGACCAAATTAAAGAAACATTATTTCGCGATTGTCACAGCGCCAACCACGGAGCTGAATGCGTCCGAGAGGTTTATGTGCGCCGTGGAGATGGAGCGACGAAATAAGTTCGTGCGTGGGCGAGAGTGGAATTGTTGCGACGCGGGATCGTGGCTAGCGACGGGAGCTTGGGGAGGAGAGTCTTCGTCCAGCAGTGGATTGACCATGGCCGATGGCGATTACTGTTTAATTCCACATAGCTTATCAATAATTCAAACGAAGTTGAGCACAGATAATCGTCGAGCACAGTTTAGCTTTTCAATGTTTGTTAAGTATATTGTCTATGCCGTATTGTTTGTTATTGAACGTGGTCTCCGAACACTTCATGAGCAATTATCTCAAATGCCCCCTTTTGTTCTCACCCCTGGATATGCACTTCATGGGAAATGCGGTAGACACTACATATGTAAATTACGACGACGATGATGATGATACCAACACGTGAAGATTCTAAATGTTCTACCATGGTCAAAGTTGAACTATATCGCCAATAAAGATTGGCACAGCATTTAAAATTAAAATGTAATTGTGATTTTGAAGACGAGCAGTGAATTGGATGAGAAGTGTATGACATTATTTCTGAGTCTATTCAAGCCACGCAGAAATCTACCACAATCACCTCCCTGCATGGCCGCTTTCACTCCCCCCTCCCCTCTCTTCTAGCACATTTGACACTGATCCAAAGGTGCAACCCTGCAATTCCTTGCTCACGCCACTGCTGGCAGAAGAGCTGGAGCTCAGCTCCAGAGAGGCCCTCGAGACGGTGTTTGTGGCCTACTCTGCCACGTTGGGCATACGTCCTGGAAGGACAGAGAGACAGTGATAAAGAAACAGTGTGACACACACAAAGAGATAAAAAGACACGCTAAGAGATGAAGACAGACGCAAAGAAACAAACACACAAAGCTACGTGGAGAAAAGCTGGCAGAGAGAATTGAGAAAGTCGATCATTCTAACTTGATGTGAAGCTTTAGTGATTGCAGGAATTACTCTTTGGTTCTTTCGGTAAAGTCACGTAGAAATAAAATAAAATAAATAATATAATACGATGTTTCGATTGCAACACAAGCAACCGTCATCAGGTGTGAATTAATGCAAGTTCGGAGAGAGACACATACAGAGAGAGAGACAACACAGACACGGAGAGAGACGCATACACAGAAACAGTGTGTTACTCTCTCTGCGTGTGTCTTTCTCTGTGTCTCTCCCCCCATGTGTGTCTCTCTCTGTGTGGCTCCGGCTGGAGCACGCATACCACACACATGTCGGTGATGTGCACGTCTTCTTCGAACGCTGGGGAGCCGGAAAAGTCATCTGTACCAGGGTGCACGGCACCCTCGTGTTCACCTTCTGAAGCGCACGCTCGTCACCGTGGCGTACGCGATGACCACCACCACCACCACCACGTGACTTTTATTTCGTG